TTAATTTTAAATAATAAAATTTGAAAAATTTGTCAAAATATGCAAAAATATGCACATTCAAATTTTAAATCTGATATCATGGCACCGAGAAATGAATTTATTTCGCACTCTGCTATATTTAGCAATAGTTAAAAAAGTATACAAATGCTAGAAGTCTCTAAGCCTTATCATAAGTATCGACGTGACAACATCTTTTTTTCATTTTTCTAATGTCTTATTTTCTATGGCTGTTATCGAGGAAAAGCTTAAATTTAAATTCAATGTGGTAACTGATAATTAAGGTTGGGATCTTGATGACAGTGCATATTTTTTTCTAATACCTCAACACATAGGTCCGTAAGAAGAAAATGAGTTTCAAGTGATACTTATTAATTTAATGGAGTTTTTATTTTGTACTTTTTTTTTTTTTTGCATTTTATGAAAAATTTAACTGTATATGAATTTTTAGTTACTGTTTTTATGTTGTTTTATAAGGAACGGAATATCCCAACTAATTTTCAAAAATTTTAGCGTCCCCCTACTAATATTACGTTATAATTATAACGCTTAACAAGTCTTGGGGACGCTATTTTTCCTAAAAGTAAACTTCTTTAATTTTCCAAGTCAAACACTGAATGTAAAGGCACTTTTATGAAAAAATGTTCAAAAATAAAAACTGTGTAGTCATACAAAAATAGATTCTTACAAAGATAAAATTAATGTTTGTATGAACAATCAGCAGCGTTTGACCACGGACTTGACCTATTACTTATAGTTGATAATAATTATAAAATAAATTTATTCCAATTTTTTTCCGCAGTGTTCATTAAATTCTTATCATTAATTATATATTTAGTTTTTAATAATTTTAGGTCCCTAATTTCCGGGCCCTCTCAAAAATTCCGTCAAAATCTTCCCTTCTCCACTTCTCGTCAGGCCTGCTTATACGTCATATCTGTTCAACCTGTGATGGACGAAAAAATTATATTATAATGTCATACGTTACCCCATTAGATGCAGCTTATCGGGAGGAACTCCACGAGGATGATCGGCCAAGTAGTTAGCCAGCTGCGCGATGCACATGCCGCAGAATCTGGGCGCCCATTCCACTTGGTTCAAACACGGTATCTGTGCCAGAGTCGAATAATCCACTATGATGATGTTGTAGTTGCCCCTGGTGAAATAAGCTGTACGGTTTTCCGGACAAAAAAAAAAAAAAAAATAAAAAAAATATCATTCAAACCGCGAAATTTTGTACTTGGGTGGCACGTAACGAAATAACGCGCGAGAAGTTACCGTTTCGGAGATCAGTGCTCGGGGACAAGTTTCTACCGCCTTGGAATCCGTGTATGATTATTTTCACCGGGTGCTTGGGGTTGAAATGAGATGTGTACAGCGATTCGGGGTCCGTCACGTCCAGCAGCTCGGGATCGTTCTGCGTAAGTCTTAAACGATACACAATATTATTCGAAGTCCGTTGAAACATATGCGCGCAACAGCATGGCAATTGTTATGCACGGCATTGCGGTGGTGCGGCGCGAAAGAAAGCCACGGAGGACCAGGAGAAAGTAAGTGCCTATGCGCGCGCGTTCAGTGTGTCTACAACGGTCATCATCAGCGACCATAAAAATAATAATATGTATTATTTGTGCGTTGTTTCATTTCGTTTTCATTTCGTGAGCCGTAGCATTAGCAGCGGCACACGCGTTCAAAAAGCGAATTACACAAAACGTGTATGTACAAACTTTTAACGGTAGTGTAATACACGAGCGCGAGAGCGATTTACTATTATTCAATGCAAATGAACAAATGTGACTCATGAAATATTTTCTCCCCGACGTCGTACCGAGTGGATAAATCCAACGCGTGCCGGGATCGTTTTAGCGAACTATAATGCACACTGACCTACCGCGGTAGTACGTGCTAGAATACGCTCGTGCGGTTCAACATTTTCATCCGAAAAACATCTTGAATCCGAGCTAAACTAATCTGAAATTCTCGAGAATAGAAGGAAAAATGACTGTTATTAATACAGAGTTTAAAATACATTTTAAACAGCAATCATTACATTTCAATTGAGACAAAAGTAGATTAGAAAAAGTTCACGTGCGATTCTTTTAAGATGCTGTCGAAAAGTGCCATCCGACCCCGATCATACGTGTATGATGACAATCAATAATGATATCAAAAACTCTAACCCTGTAGTGATTCGAGGGCCACCGAGGGCCAATGAAGCTATCGCCTTCCTAGTCACACACACGAGCAATGTATGCGGACGCGATGTAAATAAAAAAATGTGCTATTGAAACAATATTTTTGTATTCATAAACTTAGGGGTTCAAAAACTACTTTTATCGGGGCCCGTGTGCTTAAAAATATTAAAACCCGTTGACAGTTGGCTGCGGCATGGATCGATTTTCAATTGCCGACACTGCGATTAGCTAATGCGCACTGTCCACCGTGTCGTGCCATCCAGAAACCCGCGTTGTTCGCTTACCTGGTGTACAAGTAGAACTGTATCCTCGGATGTGGGCACGTGAACGGAGGTTCGACGCACGACGAAGAATTGAAAAGCTCTTTGACGGACACCGGTGGTGCCGGTGGGTTTTGCTGGAGCAATCGGCTGGAGTTCTGCTGCGACTTCGATGACTGTTTGTTCGCCAACTGTTTATTTGACGGGCGACCGATGACATTGGCATTGTTTTGAGCAGTGGCAGCTATGGGTACTGGAGAACGTACTCTCGGTATCTGAATCCGTTCCGGATTTCTCACCTGACACAGGATTTCACCTGCAGGACACCGCGAAACATTCGTGAAGTCAATGGCATGCTCAGGAATTTTCAATGGGGTCGGGTAATTTTTTTGTTTTTTCACTACGTACAATCTCAGAGAAGCATGATATTTAGATTGATTAACGATAACGAAAGTGAAAGTATAATTACAATTAGTATTTTTCCGGTTAAAATATATTTACAAATTATAATTCTTTCGAAATCAGCTATGTTTCGTTGGGAAAGAAATGTGTTTTGCATAAAATAATTTCAAAAATATGTTTTTCATGTTTAATTGAGATAAATTATCTTTTGATCAAACTAAATAGATAACACATGTATTAGGTATGTTATTTTATCGATTAATTACGGGTTGAAATCCCACGAATCTCATTCCTTTGGTAAAACGAAGAATGATATTAACCATTCTAATAATGTAAATATCATTATTTTAAATTCTCCAGAATCCTGGTACATCCTATATAAACTAAATAGTTTTATCGTAATCTTTTTTCGGGAAAGAAATAATTTTTTTACAAGCACAAAAAATTAAATTTTTTTTATACCTCCCACTTTCTCATATATTTATCTGGGATGAGATTCTTTTATTCTTCAGCTTGTCTACTTGAAATTATTCTTCGGATAGAGTTAAACTTGTGATCGTCACACAAAAAAATTAACTGCCCTCCTTGTCGACACATTCCTGTAAACGCCTTAACGTTAACGAGAGATGGCCGCTTATCTAGTAGAGACCCGCAAGGACATGCATTCACGCGATTTGTACATACTCTTATGATGACAAATTTTTTGAACATTTAGTGGAGAATAGCCTTTCGATTATCTCCAGCAAATTATGCAACGTACGCATACGAAAGGGAGCACTTCTCTTAAACGGAATATCCGCGTAAAACTAGCAAACATTTATGGTACACTCTGTGTACACGGCGTATAATACCATGAATAATATTTTTGTTTATTATAAAATCCGGTCAGCTCGGACAGTCGTTGTGCACGTACCTGTTGCGATGAACGTGAACAGGTACAGTAATGTTTGGTAACTGGCAATTGTACAGCCGGCCATGGTTCTTTCATGTTCATGCTTGGTGTCAGATCATTCTGAAAACCAACGAAACTGAATTCGGTAAAGTATATAATATTGAAATACACAAATGCATAACTCTTAATGGCTCTTATATCATACACTACTGCGAGTATAAGAATATCGGTATAAAAAATGCATATTTGTTGCCGTGAAATGTTTACGCTTACGTAGCACATCCATGCTGAATGTTGTACGAATCACCGAGTTGTAAAAGTTTAATTCAAGTCCAATTATTTAGATTCGTGCGCAAAACGTATCGCCCAACTGTCAAGGTCGTGTTTTTTAGAAAGCTCACTACTATAACTACTAAAAATACTACTTTGAATTCAGGTTGCAAAAAATATTAATCAATATGGTACATAGAATTAAAACGAATGAGCGCTTTTATTGTGTACATTATTCTAGAAACAAGACGAGTTAAAATAAATTATATTAAAATATTGTGTACGTCACTGTACTTATGATCGCATCCTGTGTTATACGTACCTATATAATATTGTAACGTCGAGATGTTCAGTGTGCGTTAATTAGTTACACAATCAAATGTACAATCGAATCGGTCATTTAGTGAGGGCTGAGGTCAGTACTTGTTTTTGCTTTATTTATTTATAACATTTTCGTAAGGTATAACAATAATTTCATAAGCTAGTGAATTTAGTAACTACGAAAAAATACAATAATGACGACTCGAATAGTAATTCGTTGTCACTACAGTTGCAGTAACTGTTCAAACAATCGTTGATTGATCTCATACCGATATGATATTTTAACACGTTTCGGGAGACGGATGATATTGATTTCCGAATGAATTTACTTGAGGTCTTTACAATCGATTATATCGATTTCAATGTCTACGCAAAAGATCAACTCACTATGCAGTAGTAGTAGTTTGTATAAAAATAAAAATAATATTGAATTTTCGAATTTTAAAACTGCTGTAACGACGTTCCGGACGGATAGAATTGCATATAGCTCACGCAATTATAACTTTTACGTTGTTCAAAATTCATGTTATTATCAGGGCTCATAACTTATAGCTCTAAAAAAGGTTGTTATAAACGCTTAAATATGTACTAAAAATACTAAAATATGCAAAAAAAAAAATGTTTGTATACAAAAATTATTATTTTATTATTATTATTTATTATATTATTTTATTATTTTAGCTTCTATTATTAAAAAAAAAAAAATTTAGTTACTGAATTCACGAAACGAACTAGCATACATACAGTACGAAAAATCGGAAACGACTGCAAAATGTTAATGAAAAATAATCTGTAAATAATCTGAGAATGATGATATCGGAATATCTAGATAATGATATTGGAATACCTGAGTATCTAAAAAACTATAAAAATAAAATACTACAGTATACAAGCTACAATTATATACAATTATAATGGTTTCCTTATCGATGGGATTACTAAGTTTCGGACGTACACTCTCGCTAGTCGCGTGTCGCCTAAACTCGTATAGGTATATATTGTTTCTTCTGATATTATATAAGTTATATAAGAAGAAAAATTAATTAACACAAATTAATTACTAATATGAACAATTAATATGACTATAATTACTTGTTATTTTTACGAAAAAAATGTTTTAGACTACTAAAATGTTTTTTAAAAAAAATCAATGATAAAAATCATGCAAAAAAGCGAAAAAAAGCAAAATATCACTTATACTCCGAAATATGCAACATAAAATTTCGTATGTAGCTTCTTGGTTATTTGGAACAAATTTATATCTCACATAGGTACCTCTAGGACCTCTCAAAAAAATATGCAAATGCTAGAATTTATGAACCCTGGTTATTATGTTCTCAACATCGTTTCTCATCTCGATCCCCGATTGCGTTTGGATCTTGGTTTTGACTTCTATCAAATCCGACGAATCGATTGCCGATGTGAGAATGTATATGTTGTGCAGCGACGTGCAGTTATGACCCGCGACCTTCGCGGTATAAATGAGCATTGTACCAAACGGAATATTAAACACATCACCTCATGTAATCTGTATTGGGTTCAAGGTAGCGTACTTTTCGTTTTGTATCGACAATTTTGTTTTTTTTTGGAAAGTCTAGAATATCGCGTATCCCTCTACGACGTCCAAATCGCACCGCGTACGATACATAGTGGTGTGCGACCATGCCCAAGTGTTCCCCTGCTGTCCAACCGGTACCTACATTACACGTATGTTGTACAGGTGGTACCGCGGTAGGTTGTGACGTAAGGAAACCGTGCAACCGGGTCAAGGTTGACATATAGTTGTTTTATGTTAACGTTTCTTAATTATTGCGATTTCGAGACGATTACTGAAAAAAATTGCCGATTCACGGGGAACGCGCGAAGATCAATCCCATCACCCTCACGCAGTTTCGCAGGTCTTAGTATCTCAATCACCATTGAGTTATTCAGCTTGACGACTATTTTGCTTTTATTTTTCACTCGCACACCACCTCGGCAGCGATCGTAGACGGTGTTATTATTATATAATGTCACGTATGTGCGCGCGCGTGTGGTGTGTGTGAGATGGTTGAACGCATGTCCGAAATATTTTGCGCGACGACCTTGTAAATAATGCAAGAATCGACTCACCGCGGGATCAGGTAAATATGTTAAGGATTCGGCGGAAAGCCACAACCTCCGTTGCGTCAGGAAATGCCGTTCGTCTCGAGCTTAATAGATGAGCTGACTATCTACGTTTCTGTATAGTGAGTAATAAACTCATACTCTCTGGGTCATGAATAAAAAAATAAATGATTAACGCACAGAAGTTGATCAATTTACTGTGAAAATTCATAACATCAATTAGTGATAATACCAGTACGTTAATAATAATAATTATTGTCCATACACTATTTTATAAAACAATACTACACACATAAAAACATAAAACATAAAACCATAGGCGTGAGCAACGACGAGTGTCAGGTATGATCACCCTCCCCCCTCCCCGAAATGTTGTAAATGGAGTCCTACAGTTTAAGTCTAAGAGTAAGGGGTCCGTAGTTTAACTAATGTTGTTTAGCGTAAACGTAATTTATTTTAAAATATTTACAAAAAAATAGTTGACGTTTCGTAATAGAAAAAATAAAACTAAATTTTCAAAATGTTCTTACAAAAAAATATTGTGATAATGTAACAGCTACAATTGACTATAAAAATACAAACCATAAATAAATTATGCTATTTGAAAAATATATAAGAGGTTCAAAGAAAACATACTCATTGTGATTAATATACCTACCACAATATTAAATGAAAAAATTAAAGTTACGTTTATTTAATTATCTATACATTAGATATAATATATTATATATACCTACAAGTTTTAAGAAAGGGCCCAAAAGTATTGTAGGCACCCTCTGAAATACAGGTCTACGCATACCTATGAATAGGGCCTGGATTTCAATGCAAAGTGCATATTTTTTTGATTGATTATGTACAATGCTCTCTAAGAAAATAATTCATTTCATGTAATGAGGATTTCAAAACTACAAATTTAATTTTGCATTTTTTTGCATATTTCGACGTTTTTTCATTTTTAGAGCATTTTTAGTATTATTGGATCATTATGTTGGTTTTTAATGCATATTCGATATACTAAACTAATTTTTTCAAAATAAAATCAAAAGACAAATTATTTTCTTGATATTTAAGTAGGTTATTATCAATCTTTAGTTTTCTATTCAATTTTTATCATATCTTAATTTATTATTGACTATAAAACGTCACCAGTATTCGGTCAAATAACAAATAATCAGCTATAATTCAGCTATATTTTTATTTATTTATTTTTTTTTTACCTCGCAGACGTTGCTCGTATTACGTGTGAATGTTATTTTAATGTATTAAATAGTGTGTTAAATAATGTTCAAAATAAAAAAAATTGTCATTTTTTAAGGTCATTTTTGCAGTTTTAAATTCTTTTTTATGGTAAAATACATTTATTAAGGACATTTTTTTAGTGCATATTTGTATGGTTTTAAGTGCATTTAAATCCGGGCCCTACCTATGAATAACATACTGAAATCTAGTGTCGTATTACGACGGACTAAGTTAACATAATTTGTCAACATTTAAATTTGATTCTGTATGTGTTGATACTTCACAACAATATTTTCCAAATTTAAAATCGATGACAATATATTCCTATCTTATACGTGTAAAAATTGAAATTTATGGAAAATATGAGAATATCAAATGCATACATTTCAAATATTGATGAAATATAAATATTACGAATCGAATGGTTATCGGACAATTTATAAATAATTCGACATAAAGAAACCTTGACATAAATCTTACCCCGATCTATTAAAAAAAAAAATAAATGTACTAAATACCTATGAGTGTATAAACACGTTATAAAAAATCAAATGTACAGCCGACATATAATTACATTATAGATACAGAATAAATAATTAGTGTCGTATATGTTTGTGTTCGAATATTATTTACCCACAATTATAGTAAACTGAAAACAAACGGGTATCAGGAAAGAATAATCAACTTTCAAATTAGTAAGAGGAAGACAAAGAAGATCGCGTTATGCTTACTTTTCAAATTTTTCAGAATGAAAGCCCAAATGTTCATTTATATAATTATATGTATAGTATATACATTTAACCCTGTATACGATACTAAATAAGATTGTCGTGGGAATCGAGTGAATTTTTTTTTGTTTTTATTTATTTTGTATCATTTGTCAAATTTAATATTCTCTTTACACTAGTATTTTCTAATTTCATAAAATGTATTTGGCAGACTGTAAATATATATATATATATATATATATATATGTATCTAATGTAGAGATATCGGCACAGCAAGTGAAATATGGTCGGAAGACATGGTATTACACAACGCAGTACAATGTGCACTCCAATCTATTGTTCAGTTATCGAATATGACACGATTAAAACATTGTGTTAATACAAACATTCGCGTTTATGTCGAACACGGAAAAAATTACGGCTCATACTGTAATTGTTACACCCGATGTTTATTAATCATAATAATTAACGTATAGTAGTAACAAGTATGCCCAACTACAGTAACTATAATAACTAAATTGCGATATTTAATAATTATTTAGCTATAATTATTTAGCTATATACTTAAGTATACCGAAAAAACTCGAAGGACTAAATTATACATTTTTGAAATCCGAATATTGTCTTTAAACTATTCGATACAACTGATATCCATTAATGTACGTATATTTTAGCTTATAATGAGTTATTTTACAGATTAATGACAACATACGTTCAATTCTGATTGATTGATTTAAATATTTAATCGATATAAAATTCAATCTTTATTTTTTTAGATCATATTATAATACAATTTAGTGTCGCTTGTACTTTTTATCAACATAGAGTTTGTGCATTATAATAGATTAAATAAGTCGTTCAATCGATAGCTCACCAAGTTTTTTCCTCGAATAATTTTTTTTTATATACTCATATATAATCATTATCTTAAGTTTTCATTAACTTGTAATTTTTTGTCAGTCCCTTATATTAACTAAATTGGTCTAAAAACTAAAAAACTAATTGGATGTCAGTGGTATAGGACATAATGACTGCAACTCGTTTGCGCACATTTTCCTTTTTTATAACTCGTTTAACGCAAAAATGCACAACTCGATTGCGCACAAATATTTTGGCTGCCTGTGACAAAAATCCCTAGTGTCAGAACTTGTTTGCTTATAATCGTTGATTATTATACTTCTCATGATTATGAAAGTTGGTTACTTTTATTATTTTGTTTGATTTATTAACAATAACACTCGCAGGACATTTTTTATTAGTGCATCAAAAATTTGAACATCCACTCATTAAAACACGATATTTACTAAATTTATAATTATTAATATTAAAACATCTTTTTCCTCACCGAAATTCAAAAATATTAGAAACTTCTACGCCATATTAAAGTTTACGTCGTCAACACACTATTCACCACTGTACCGTCCATATCCAGAGTCCATACCTACCGAAACTTTACTAAAAGTTGTTTGGAAAATCCAAATTTATATAATCTACAATCTACATAGTCGATTATATTATAATATTAAGATAAAATATTTGATAATTTGTACTGCAGTCTGTGACGATATATATATATACACGTGTCATTTGTATGACGAAGCATTGGAGTTGGGTCCTGAGTACTAAGGGCTAATCGCAAGTAGTATAAAAGTTGGATCTCAGATTTTTTATAGGTACATACTACACTAGTTGGGTCCTGAATTGTTTTAGGTATTACACTAGTTCCTGAATATTTTTTGGTAAGTACTACATTATACTAACATTTTCCTTCCCATTTAACAGACTTAGGAATGTCTATGTACTATTTAAACCACAGGTATGATGAAAAATGTTTTTTATATATTTTTTTTTTTATATAGTTTCTTTTCAATTAAAATATAAATTATTAGAATTGTGTTAGTAAAAATATTAAAAATATTAAAATTGTATTAATATTATTGTATAATATTTTTAATTATTTTAATATTTTTTTTACACTATACTAACTTTCCAATACTATTATATAAATTATAGAATTTATATAAAATATGGTCCTGTGGTCTAAATAGATCACAGACAGTCCTAAGTTTGTTGAAATGGGAAGGAAAATGTTAGTATAATGTAGTACTTATCAAAAAATATTCAGGAACTAATATACACCTTAAACAATTCAGGACCCAACTAGTGTAGTATCTAAAATAATTCAGGACCCAACTAGTGTAGTACTTAAAATAATTCGGGACCTAATTCGGATGCAGCCGTGTGTGAATGTGTCGTACGCAAACGAGTTATCTATTTTTAAGTAAACAATTGATTTCTTCGTGCGCAAATGAGTCGTCGATTTTCAGGTGAAAAATTTTAAATGTGCGTAAACGAGTTGCAACGAGACATAATATATAATATCGTTATCCAGGAAAAAAAAATGAAAATATGAATCACAGCCAATACTTACAGTATCAGAAAAAAAATGTAGTGTTAAATCAATTAGATAAATTTGTTAAACAAAATTAATCTTAAATTTACAGTTTTGACGTTAAATTCATCAATAAATAAACGTTAAATATTAGAAAAGTGTATTCGAGTTTATTATAATATGTGCGTTAAATAGGATTCAAAATTGATTTTATTAAAAATATATAGAAATTTAAATACATGAATCAATATCAAGAAATAAAAAGTTCTTTAAAATTCATTTTGAACGATACATATAATATTATTTTTTTAGTAGTTTTAACCATGAAAATATACAATGTTTTTTTAGCTCAAATATACGCATTCGTTCCTCGAGTAAAGTTCATTGATAGTATTTTAAAGTCTTGTACACTATTTTGTCAGAAAATTAAGGGAAAAGTTCATCATTTTGTTAAAATAAACGAAATAAATCGATACGCGCAAATATAGTAATTACCTATTATCATAGGCACAATTAGGTGGGGATTAGGGGACTAAGCCCCCAAATATTTATCCATCCTCCAAATAATAGGAGAATCAATTATTCGTTATAGAAATTAGCACTCCCATCCTACAAAAAAAAAATAAAAATAAACTTTAGTAGCGACGATTACCTATATGATTAATTCATCGATATCTAGACGTATTATTACATGACTGATCCACCCCTGCTGATAGTGCAATGACAAATGTGACGTTATTGATACCTCGTGATCTTTCGAGTTGTAGAAGTCACAATCAAGTTTCCGTTGATTTTCAAAAAATATCTACACTTACGGTGCGTTAACTCCTAACTAACTAAGTAAAGTGTGTGTTAATTTTTTCTGTATAGTTCGAATATTACTTGTTCCGTTTTCGTATTTCAGTTTTTTGAGTTACTGTAATTTTATATCAAACGACCGTGATTGTGAAAGCATATATTATATAATACAATGGAAACTCAATAAACTGAAATATTCGATTGTCCTCAAAGGAAAAATCTACTCAAAAATGTCCAGACGCTCATCACGTTAAAAAATAATATATCCTCATGTCACATCTGAAAAATGATCCACACTCTATGATTGTACGATCCATTAAGTTATAACGAGTACACCACCTCGGTTATATGTTATGCCGTATTACTGTTGAATCGTGTACGAGACGCATTTCGAAAATGCCGTGGACAGTCTACTAATTCGATCTAACTCCATCTAATTCGATTTGTTCGCACAATATCCTCGTATCCTCTGTCAAACACCTTGCGCATCTTAATTACGGTTCGTCCCGACACACGTCCGTACTCCTTTCAAGATTCGTAGCAGACCATCGGTGTAAGTGAGTCTGAACTACTCCTCCTCGTTGTACCGCGAAAAATATTCGCAAATTGTCCGTCACTTTACGTTTTGATACATGTATATTTATCCCATGTCGATAAAGACGTAGACAACCACAGCACATCCGAGTTTCTCGGACCAGTGATCATTAGTTTCTTGTATTATTAGTGCCGGGGTGATCATAATTTAAATGTGTTTAAACGTGATCACATTTATCTCTGTGTGCCGGGTTTTCAGTAATATTGTACAACACGCTGCAGAGAAAGATTTTAGTTCGAAAATCCGAAAACGGCTCGTACACGTATTATACGATTATTATGATGATAATAATATGTTAATGTTGTTACTCACGTGCGAATTTCCGATGTTTCGAGATTGTCGAACCGTAACTGCAAAACCAATCAAAACGTATCTCAGTAATATGCTGATAAAATATTACACTGAACCGCGCCGATATTTACACGAAAATAACGCGTCCGTTTTCTCGACGTCACGCTGCGGCAGGGCAGAGGCGCGCACGCGACCGGTGGACAACTGACTACTACTGCAACGGATCGTCGTCGGTCGCAGTGTTCGGACACACGTTCGGTTGAGTGAAAGTGAACGGATTGATATTATTATTATTTTATATTTACCATCTCCCGTCCCGTCCAGAAGCGAACCACGTACGCACTCGCCGGTCAAAAAAAAATGATAGTAATAATAATAATACTAATAATATTATAATTTAATATAAAATTGAAATAGTATTGTCATAATGAGACGCGTAGGAATGTGTTTTGAATTTTAAAACACTTACATCCCCTATATATGCTTATCGTAAGCCATAAATATGTTAAACACTAAATATTTTGGGTTCCTACATAAGTATAAAACGTATAGTTAGATGATTCTTTTCCATATATGATATTATTATAATTATTTATACAACATGGTGTACAGTTAAAAGTTGTACGCAAATTATGATTTATGAATTTGATTTTATGATTTCGTAGAGGACTGTAGTCCCTCTGCAATAGTTGTATTTTAATAAACAATTAAAACACCCCTTTTTTCAAATTCTGGCTACACCCTTGATTATGATTATGTGCGTACAGTAATATAATGTTACGTGCGTAACATAATAATTTAATCTATCCTGCAGTCTTGTAGGAGTGTTTAAATAAAACATTTTGATAAAACCAATATCAAGCGTACGAAGATCACTAATTATAGGAGCTAAATATATGTTTAGATACGTCCGTCGAATTTTTCAACTGAACTCTATGAATGTGTAATGTTATCATTCTATTGTACTATATAATATGTGATGTATACAAAAAACGTTAAGAGTTTTTTTGTCATTTGATTAGGAGTGTAAGGTTGCACCTACCCTATCTATCAATCCAAAGGCGTGGAGTCGAGGGACGTCAGATTAGGTTCATTAATTTGATACTAATTAGATTTGATTTATGAAAACGTCTAAGCGATCGTTTTGTTGGATTCAGTTGTGCACGTTTTAGTATAATATATTTTAACATTAATAGATGTGTTACATAACTGCATAGTTTTCATGAAACAAATAGTTGTTTTTTTCTATTACTATTATTATTATTATTATTATTATTATTATTATTTTATAAAAATTAAAAATAACATCAACATATAATAGTAAAACGATAATACATTTTATTTATTCAAGTTTATACGTAATTTATAGTAAAACTTTGTTTAATAGATTTTTAAAAATTTTATATTAAATTATAGCAACTATTTATGCAATGCATTTTGTTTATTTCTATTGATCTTTTTTTTGTTAAAAAAAAAAAAAATCTTTGTTTAACAATTAGTTTCGACAATTAAGTATAACGGGATATAATATATAGGTGAACAATATTAACGTAAGTTAATTACAAAAAAATGATAGTAAAATTAAATTAAAAATCATGAATTCTTAAAATAAGATACTACAAAAATTATAATGTTTTTTTGTTGTTTTCAAAGGATATTTTTGGTGACAAAAGGGATGTTGTCAGATTTGAAAAGAGCTAGTCACGTTGGAATGATAAACTGGGACAGTTAAAGATTAGATGGGTTATGTCACAAACTATAAGATCATTGTGAAGAGTGCAGAAGGGGGAATCATTCAATGAAAGTTTGAAGGACTGAAAAGGAAGTAGGGTGTGGCCAGAGCCTCTATTATACTTAAATCGAAGATACGTTCTTATTTTTTAAATTTACCAAAAATAATTTTAATTATAATAATTATTATTTTACGTCGATAATGAACCTATTATAATTAGATCTTGTATTTATTTAAATAGATACATTTATACTTATACATATACATATACTTATAACTTCTTTATTATTGGTATTGGATTTGAGGTCCACGAAAAAGAGTGGTAGTGTCTGTTTTTAATGACATTTACGACATGGGTAGCGGAGTGACCTAGTTTAGCGAGAGCATCAAATATGTCTGAGATAAGGTTCGAGTGGCAGTGGCGTAGCCAAGATTTTTAAATGGGGGGGGG